ATTGGTCACGAGTGAACACGTACGTTTAAATTCAATTTGATTCATTTCTTTACATAGCGTCAAGTCGCAGCAGAAGTCGTCTCAGGCACTGAACAGAAACATTCACAGACATTATAAAAGTCAATTAGTAAAGTTCTCTGTCTGAGGAAGCAGCAGGTTGGGTTGAAGCCTCCCTTTAACAGGAAGAAACCTCCAGCAGAACCAGGCTCAGAACGAGCGGCCATCTGTTTCGACCGACTGGGTTAGAGAGGACAGGAAGGAGAAAAACGAACAGAGTGACAGGTCCAGGTGTGGTTTCTATAGCAGGAAAGACAAAAAACATGTTAACATAGAAATAATTACAAATACAAAACAGGTTGAGCAGAGTAAGTAAAGACAGTAACAGAGTGAAAAGTGTGGTCAGATGGTCCTCCAGCAGTCTAAGCCTATAGCAGCATAACTAAGGGACAGCTCAGGAAACCCAAGCCGACCCTAACTATAGGATTTATCAAAAAGGAAAGTCTTAATCCCAGTTTTTGAAACCATTAGTGAAAAGGCCAGACTTCAGGGGTATCTGAGGCAGGCTTGAAACACAAGAGTCAGGGTGGCTTCTGGGTAATACCAGATGGCTAGGCCTCAGACTGACGAAGCCTCTTGGATGAGGGGCGAAACGTTTCTTTTTAACAAAAAAACGAAGTCCAGATGACATGATTCAACCTTTTTTGTTGTTCTTAATCCCAGTCTTCCAACTGGATAATGTGTCAGTCTCACGGACGGAAACTGGAAGTTGGTTTTACAAGAGAGGAACCTGAGAACTGAAAGATCTGCCTCCCATTCTGCTTTTGAAAACTCTAGGAACCACAAGTAAACCTGCAGCCTGAGAGCGCAGTGATCTATTATGAAAATATGGAACAATAAGATCTGTAATATAAGATGGAGCCAGGTTGTTGAGAGCTTTGTAGGTTAGAAGTAAGATTATGAATTATATTCTGGACTTGACAGGGAGCCAATGGAGAGAAACTAAAACTGGAGCGATATGATCTCTCCCACTAACTAACTTTTGGAGCCATTTTGGTTCAAGATGGCTGCCACAGCTACCTCAGAAAACACAGAATTTACTATAACTCGGTCATTCTTTGAGATATTGAGCAGAACTTTGGCATGGTTGTAGCTGGGAGCGAGTTGTTAGACATTCAGAGTCAGAGTCAGAGTCAGAGTCAGAGTTTCTTTATTGTCATTCGCACCTCATGTGGTACATGTGGTGGAGCGAAATTATGTACACAGGGTCCCAGTTACATCCAACAATAAAATGTATAAGAAAAGCAGTAATAACATCTAAGATATGAACTAAGAAAAACATCAACTAAATATACACTAA